TGTTTCATCATCATCATCATATCAGTTTTTAACTGTCTCCTGCTGAACATTGGCCTCCTTGAGAGGTTTGAAAACCGTACTACTACTAATAAGTAATACTACTGATAAGTAGTTGTCACGCTTAGCAGGTGGATTGGTAATCGCAGTTAGGCTTAAGAGATGTTTTAAGAGGGACGCTACTGCCCATCCCTCCCCTTCCTTAGTTGCCTCTTATGATACCTACGAGAAAGGAAACAGTGGCCTATTCTATGCCGAAACCACACAGCCTATTATATTGTTTAAGTTTATAAATACTCATATGTACACAAAAAATGTATTTAGCAATGTTGTTTAGTAGATATGTACCGTAAATACACGTCATGAAGAGCTACTAGATGGAGCTGTGTTATATACTATATATTCAATTTATGATTATTCTTTCATTAAAGTAGAACAGACAGATTAAAATATGGTTAGATTACCTTATTAATAAGAGTCTTATTTGCCATTATTATTTTTTAATTTTATTAATATTTCTAATCAATTACAGGCAACACTGAATGGTGCAGACCAGCCTGCTGATGGTAGTCACTTCCAATCCTTCTCGTCAAGCTCGCATTCGTCAGAACAAGTAGTCGACGGCAAGGTGGTGAGCAAAGAAAGCGGTGGACGTGTCACCAGTAACATCGACGGAAAGGTTGATGATAAAGTATTTGGAAATTAAACGAAAGCCGGCCAAATGTTAATGATATCGATATTCCTGAGATTGTATATTAAGTAAGAATTATAAAATGCGCACTTAAAATATTCTGTTTCATTGTCAACCAACCTTAAAAATGAGTCATTCGATCCAATTCTTTAGCACCATTTTAACCTGTCTCTGAAAATAAAAGTTTCAATTTATTAGTTTTGTTTGTACTATAATAATTATGTATCATTATAATCTGGCTGATCATCATGATAATGATTATAAACGAAATTTATAAAAAAAATTCAATAAAAACTATTTGAAATTTCGTTCATTTTGATCCTTAGAATAAAAATTTGTTGTGATATTAAATTTAATTTTACAGATAGATTTAGAGAATGGTATTATGGAGTCGACTCCATTGCTGAAAAAAGGCCTTCCCTATATATTACTATAAATTAGGTATTCTTAATAGATGGCAATATATTGGTAATCCCGCTTACGCTAACGGCATATGCTGGCGGAGCACTAGTAAGATATGATAGATGAAGATGAAAAAGGTCAATTAGCTCAACATAGTGATTTCCAAGTCCGCGAGGAAAGCGACCTGACAGGGTATACTAGAACTCATTACTAAGGAGGGAAGGGATGGTTAATAATGGGATCTAACAACCCCATTACTAACAATATACCTTATCAGGTCGACCTCCACATTGTTCCCCCTGGAAACCATCGTGGTTAATTCTTGTGAAATTCGTCACGATGGGCTAACTGACCTGCTTTCATCCTCATCTGTCATCTATCACTGGTGCCCCGCCAGCGTATACCGATAACGCAGGCGGGATAACCATTCCATTATCATCCATAAAAAAAAACCTATTACTAACATTCCTCTCCCTCCCGCTATAAAAAAGGGTCCTAAGCCACCTGCAATCACTGTCTATAATACATTTGCATTGAATATTTATTTTGGTGAAGGTTTATTTTACGTTTGATAGTGCAGAGTAGCTACTTACTGACAATCTTTTTACCCCATCACTGGTTTTTAGAGTAAATCAAATTTCATTCAAATCTTTGGCAAGAAAATGCTTGTATAAAGTATTCGAAGAGTTGAAAGTCTAAATAAACTTTAACGATTACTATTACAACGACAGCCACCTCTGAACGAAGGGAAAGGGATTGTTAGGGATTCTAACAGCTTCATTGTTAGCAATGTACTCTAACTTTTTCACGTAGTTTTCCCTGAAAAACTTAGAGATTAAGTTTTGATGAATTCAGCACGATGGACCAACTGACCTGCTTCATCCTTACCTATCATTCTGTACTGGTGCCTCGCCAGCATATACCAATAGCACAAGTTGAGTTACTATTCTATTATCTCCCATTAAAAAATCAAATCGGGAATCTAGTCCCGAGATGTTTTTTTCCGTCTAGTGCAGAGGCAATAGTCACGGGTGGGATTATATAAAATGATTCCTAATTTTTAACTAGTTAATATATTATTGTATGGTCTAATAAATGAAATACTTATATGAGAAAGTATTTATATAGAAGGTTTAAAAAAGAATAAATAAAATAAAAAATCTTAGATTAAATAAATATTTTAAGGTACAGAAATTATATACTCTTGACTTTTTTCCGTTAGCCAAGTCACATTCGGTTCTTAGTAAGTTTTTACTAGGTGAGTGGGGCAAATTTAATAATAATAATATTTATTTCTATCATAATAGTACTTAATTTATACAATTTATAAAATAAAATATAAAAAGTAATTATAACTTAAAAAAAAAGGTACCATATTACAAAAATCAGATACAAAATCCCAAGTATAAACATAATGTCTAATATGAATTCACTGCATGATTTTCAGAAAACATTCAGTTTTTCATAGCATTGCATTTCTAAACATTACATGATTTTATATTCGCAATTGTATCGAGATTCTATATATATGTTTATAAGTCGATTTAATTTATTATATAGAAGAGGGCCTAAAAATATATAATGCCATTTAACAAAAGGTGATGATGTTACAGTTCTCTTAAACACTATATTTGCTCTTCGACGATTAGTAAACATACAGGATCATAGAGATTGCATATGACACAGCACAGTACAGATTTAAAAATAAACAGTTTCCGCACAACTACCACAGGCAAATTCGCGGGATAAACTAGCTGTGTAAATCATATTTTTAAAATATTGTAAATACATAACGTTGTATTTGGGAATCCTAAATTATTAATAGATTCATAAATTTACCTCCCGGCAATTCGGTGATGATTTTATGATGATGATTACCGGCAATGGGATTCGAACTCATACTGCTGCAACATTGCTTTCCTAACTGAGCATGTTCCCAACTACACCACTATGAATAATAAGTAATACTGTCAGTTGGTAAATCCTATTAATATAATACCATAAATGCAAAAGTTTGCAATAATGATTGGATGGATGTTTGTTTTTTCAAGCAAAAGTAAAAGCTACTGATCGGATACATATACACATAGGATTTTTTTTTGCATTGATTCACGAAGGTGAAACTGCAGGATACTTGTTAGTCTTTAAGAGTGTTTTATTTTTGTAATAATAATTAGTTTATTCATCTCCACAAATTACAATATATGTACAGATTATTTACTTTATACAAAATAAAAGTATCGTATTTTGTGGGAGATCTGGAGCCTCAACTAAGTCGTAACTTGTATCTATTTAGTTTATTAAACCCAACTTAACCCCAAGTCTTTAATAATTTAATTATTTTGATGCAATGCTATATCATCGTAGTCATTATTTGCCCACTTCTGCACATAGGCCTCCTCTATAGACTGCCATAAGGAACGGTCCTGAGTCATCTGCATCCACTAACTTCTTGCAACAATGCATTTCAGGTCATCTTTCCATTTAGTGGGGAGAGGGGGGGGTTTCACACTACGTTTGTCTATATGAGGTCGCCACTCAAAAATCTTTCTTCCATTGCATGAAAATACAATATGCCTATGATAGTGAAATTTTCGATAAATTAGGTATAACTTAATTATCAAGTGTGGCCATACGCAATGAATATCGTAAGCAACATTAATTTTGAAACATTCAAGTTTGAAGGCAATTGTTACTATTTAAAATCAAGGGAGCTGTCAGTTTGTTTGTTGTATAAAAGGATGTATATCCTTTTATTCTACTGATATGTAAATAGGTAAGCTATTTGCTACCTGTCGCTTTCTTTAGAATTCAATACTTAGCTCTAATTCTGTGACTTACACACCGTCTTAGTCAGTACTTTGTTTTCTGTTGATTGACGTCAGTGTAAAAAGGGGAATGGGCTAATTAGGTCACAAGTGTATTATATTAGTGATTTTATTTTTTTATTATTCCATCTATAACAAACACAGGCGATATTGGAACTAAATGGCATTTTTCTTGACGATGGGTAACTATCTGATGGTGTAATCTTGGCCTCTTGGAAATTAAGGAAGTGCTTAGTGTGGGTATGTATGGTATGGGTTGTACTTACGTTAGTACGGTGGTACGTTAGCACAAAGCCATTAATCGGGGTCGTCCTCTCATTTAGACGCGGTGGCGGTGACAGTAGAAACAATAAAGTATAAGTACGTTGTCTCGATGTGGTGCGTTGGAAGACTATAAGTGTATCCTTATTATTATATAAAAAGGTCTTGTGAAAATATATTAGAATATTTTTTTATGTCATTAAATCCTATGCCATATATCCACATAAATACATACAATAAATAATACTATTCCATCTTTAAACGCAATTAATCTGTTTCTGAATAGGTAATTAATGTAATTATCTAGGGATGAATATATACTATGAATAATAAATATTATAATGAATTATTATTTTTTAAAGTCCCTATTATTCAGTGGTTTAAAAACCATACAATAATAATAATAATAAGCGTTCATATTTTTTATTACTGTTGTTAATTTAAAATGAAATACGTTAATAAGCGTTCATATAATTTAAGTTTATTTAAGTTTTTAGCTATAATTTTAATTTTAAATTCTATAAAAATCATCGCCAACATTATTATCATATCAGCCGTAAACTGTTAAACTGCTACACTGCTAAACATAGGCCTCTTCCTATTGAGGGGTTTTGCCAGTTGCCACTCTTGGCACTTAAGCATCAGCGGCGGAGAGACGTTGCTACCAATTCCTAAAGCATTAAATTTCCTTAGTCGCCTCTTACGACACCCATAGGACAGGAAAGGCTCTATTTACTTATAAAAATGTATTTTATAAATTTTCAGACTGTTCCAATGTCACCAATGTTCCTCAACACATCAGTATCACAACAACAAAGAACCAAGGCCTTTTTAGTTCGTCATATAAATTAAGCGTTCGTTCCATATTTACCATAGCTTGATAAGAGTTTGTACGAGCCGTAACATATTATATTTGCTTCAAAAATGAGCCGATTAACCGTTGTGTTTGTGCTTGCTACATTTCTCTGCGTTAATATAGGTATTTATATTAAATTAATTAAAATATTTATTTAAAATAGTTATAATACTTATAAAAAAAAAACATTATTAGTTATTATTATATGTGAAAGTGTGTTTGTTTAACGGTTCAACCAATTATTATAAAACTTCGCATACTATGTGTATTTGGGATGGAGAAGAAAAATAGAAGATAAGAGAGTTATTTTGTTGTGTGTATATGTGTTGAACGATATCTTTGCTGTGTTTTGATATTGTAATATATCATTCATTCTGTATTATTTCATCTGATTAAAGTGGTGACAGTATAGATACCATTTCATATTATGACACCTTATAAGGGCAGAATGACTGAATTAGTTTGTTCATGAATCAAACCCGGGATCTCATTAAATGCAAGCAATTTCATCGCAGAATTTGACAGTAGTATAATAATTTTAGATTTTATTGCATAATATTATATAATAATTAAAAATTATATGAGTCTGTTTTATTGTAAGATGTTTTTATTATTATTTTATTTATTTACTCATAAAAACATTTTGCAATAACAAGTAGATTTTGTTCCAGCAACAAAATCACCGACTTTGATCGTGACAAAACCAATTGTTTTGGTTTACTGAACCGATTTTGATGCAATTCGATGCAACTTTTTTTTTGATGTCGGTTAAAAGTAGTGGAAGTCAGGACAAGTATTATTATAAAGAATATCTTTTAATTATTATGATAAAGTTAGATAAAGATTTCACAACATAATCACTAGTTTTTGTTTAAGATTTTGTTCAACAAAAACGTAACTAAATACCAATCCTGTCTATTTACGTCACTTAAAGCTCTTTCTTTGTTGCTAATTAGTGTAAAAAATAAGTAATATATTTGCTTAATGTATTGTAACTGGTTGTATGTAATGCACCTACGCATGGGATCGTCCCCAATGACGGATCATATGTCAAGCAAAAACTATTGCATGCAGAGAGCTATAAATCGCCACAATAATATTTCTTTGTAAAAAAATATAATATAATGTAATTATTATAATGTAAATAAGTATAAATAAACAAACGACTTGAAAAGAGGCTCTCAATTTGATGTGTATATATGAACCACTCTGTTTACGATAAAAGTTATCCGATTTTGATGATTCTTATAAATTCTTTACTCTTGCATTAGTTCCTTATTAATTTTATAGTGATTGCCACTGCACATGCACTGCACATGCATTGCACACACTTTTATTATACGGAGAAAAATCCTGACTGGCGAAGTAAAAGTACACGTACTTGAGGGCACACGTATCCCATTCTAAATTCAAATAATTATTTATTTAACTTTTTATTGCAACAAAGACAAAAATATGCAATGACAATTAGACAATTCAAGTGAAATATGGTACAGTAGCATAAAGTATAGATTAAAATATATACCTAAAGGTACTAAAGACGCTTTTATGGCTATGGCTAATTATTTAATCATTTGAATATTGATTTTGTTTCAATTGATACAGTTGTTTTTTTTTTTGCGAAGTAAAATCTACTCGTATTTGCTATGAAGTCCAGTTGTTAAACACTACAGTTCTCAACCGACTTCAGAAAAAGAAAGAGGTATTCAATTTGGTACTATTTTTTTTTATGTTTCTTACTTTTTAACTCAAACAGTTATAAACCGATTTGAAAAATTATTGTTATTTAAAATGATATATTTTCAGATTAATTCTATAGAATTTTTTTAGAAATCTATTCAATAATTTAGTTTTTAGGTCACTGTTCAATAACTGATCGTGCCACAATAGAGGCCGGTTGTTTTGTGGACCAGGATCTTAAGTTTGCTTCTATTTTATAATTTTGCTATATTTTCACTGTTTTTTTTTTTTATTTTTCAGCTAATGCAAATGAATTTCCATTGTAAGTAAAACATTAATATAATTTTTAATATAATATTATTGTATTACACTTTATCATAAAGGCTGATCCTTTAACTGTCCACTGCCGAACATAAGTCTCTCTCTTGGGGGGACAGCTACTAGTTGCAAACAGGCTTTGGAGATATGTTAAGAGTGACGCTGCTTAGTCGTTTCTTACTACACCCACCCAAGGAAGACGTAGTCTATTCTATGTCTGGACCAAATGGCGAATTTATTACACTTACTACTACATATTTCTACTGGAATGTAGTAATACCCCAGTCATTTCATATATAAACTACGCGATACGTGCTTGTCACAATTACAGAAACAGTGCACACCTGTAAATATGACTATGTGTACGTCTGTAGTTATGATTAGCGCGGAAAAATTGTGTTTGTGTGCTGACGCGTGTTTGAAAGGGGGTGAGGTCAAAGCAGCGGGCGGCAGGGAGTGTCCATACTGTACTTTAGTACTACAATGTTTTAATACTATTATGTTAACACTCCATTTTATGTTTAATACCTGAAAAGGCTGACTTAAGGAAAGTCAACACCGCATATCAGATAAGGAAAACTTGTAATAAATATCGCAACTTAATATTCAGCTATTATATCTTCATCTCAAAGGAAATATGTCCCCGTGTCGTCATGTGTTCCCTTTCTTTCGCGTGGGTGTCGTAAAAGGCAACTAGGGAAATTTAATGTTCGAAGGAGAGGCAGCAGCGTCCTTCTTAAAACATTACCAAAATCTAATTGCGGTTGCTAACCAGCCTGCCAAGCATGTTTGTATGCTGTATTTCATAGCTTTACCCGTATGAATCAGTATATAAAGTATCCTATGTGCTAAGTTAGGATATAACGTACCTTACCTTTAACCAAAGGGAGACTGTACAAAAGTCGTTTGCTTGGCCACCTCTGTCCATTCGCGTTTCTACTGTGAAACAGTTGTGTTTGCATGGCTGTGTTTCGGTTTGAAGGGTGGGATATGGCGTGAATTTACTGGGTACAGAAGAGTAACACCTGAGTCCTCAGGAATGACAACGCATGGGGGGTCATGGGCGAAACAGTATACTCTGTTATGTCCATGGTACTGCTCATGTCTATCGTGAAGCAGTTGTGTTTGCATGGCTGTGTTTTGGTTTGAAGGGTGGGATATGGCGTGAATTTACTGGGTACAGAGGAGTAACACCTGAGTCTTCAGGAATGACAACGCATGGGGTGTCATGGGCAAAACAGTATACTCTGTTATGTCCATGGTACTGCTCATGTCTATAGACGACGGTTACTACTTTCCATCAGGTGGGCCGTCAGCTTGTTTGCCATTCTAAGTTGAATAAAAAAAAAATAGTCTATATTTTTGTAATTATGTTATATGTTTACATAGATCCCTAAACCATATACCCGTATGAAACCGGAGCGACGTTAGTATTAAATGTAAGTAAACATTAATGTTTATTTTGTTTCGCAGTTTTGGAGGAAATTTCCCCTTCCCGTCATTCGACTTTCCAAAGATCAATATACCCAAAATTGTAAGTATTTTTTTTTTTAACTTGTAATTGTATATTTATTTGCTATTTAAATAGATTAATAAGTTAATCTATGGAAGGGACCTTTTTATAAAATTGGCAATGACGCTTTAACATAACATTCTACCAATATTTTTTTTATCCTAACTTTTGGTGGATTATGCACAGGTTATCAACAAAAAAAAAGTACTTGTATTATTATTATTTTTTTAATTTGTTCTACATGCAACACATTTTTAAATAACTTTTTTAAATAATTGGCCAAATTTCGTCGAATTCGGAAACATTTTATACCTTCAGGGGTTAAAAGATTAAAAGTGATAGTTTGAGTGATAAAATCATTTTAATGCTTGTTACTCGATCTTGTTTTACCGGCTGAATGTTTTTGAATTAGAATGAAATAAATGAAATTTGAAATAGGCAAGTTGCGGAATACAGAGAGTATTTTAATATAGGACTTCTGTTTGTATTCGAAGTGTCATTAAAAATAAACCCCAAAAATATTTATGGTTGCCTTAAATTATATAGTTGCATCTTAGATTATATAGATAGGGTGTTTCCATAAAAATGTTTCTAGAAAGCGGGTCAACTTCTTCATACAATTTTGCGTGATAAATAGTTACGAGTGATTCCTTTATAACTTCTATATTTATTTTGTCTTATAAATTTTGCACCTTCTTAATGCGTACAAAAAAATATATTTATTAAATCGTTAAATATAGATACGTCAAGATACATTGTAGGCGTAAGTTAATGTAAGAACATTAATAAAAAAAAACGAGTCAGCTAATTGATAATTAGTTGACAAAAAGGTGCCCCGTTTTTTAAGCTCGATGTTCTATCTACATAATCTAAGGGTTGCATATATTCGATTACCATTTTAATGAGCTCTTTGCAATCGTCAATATTTTTTTCTATAGAGTCTAGACAGTCTTTTGCTGTTATATTATTTTTTTTTTATTAAAACGTGACTATAATAAATGATATTGCATCGTGAACAGTGTTATCTATATGGTTTGTTTTCAATGTAACTTCTTTGTTTTAAGATTTAAATATACCTACCGTATGGTAGGTAACCTATATGTATTATAAAATTGTAATATTACATTTTTTTTATAATATTTTAAATGTGAAAAATAGTTTGTTTTTTATCTCTTTGCATCTGAAAGGCTTAACCGATCGTTTGATATATGATATACACGTACTATATGGAACTACTTTACTTTATTCCAGTCATGTTGATACATATCTTGGACACATAGGCGAAGCTACAACGATAGTCCGTCTTCACTTGATTTACACTTATCAGTAATGTTTTTTTTTAATTTCCTAATCATAGAAGCCCATTAACATCGATGACATAAAGAACCTGAAGCCGAGTGATGGTGGTGTCGTCAACGGTGCTGCGGTATCCAGTTCTTCCACAGTCGAAAACGTCAATGGTGTACCTGTGAGGAAACAACAAACACGAATAATCACAAACGACAACGGACAAGTCAAGGAAGTTACTTACGATAATTAAAAACTAACTATGCAGAGTTTTTGCTGAAAAATCTTTAATTGTAATTAAGAATAGAAAACAATTGAAAATTCATTTTACCATAAACATTTTGGTAGTTCATAGACTTAGCAACTATGACGGTAGTTTATGGTATGGTTACGCAAGACTTATAATTTTCATGTTATGTTCATTTTGTTCAACTATATTCTGAAATATCTGAAATAAAGAAATAAAAGTAAAAGGAAAAAAGGAGTATAACTCTATGAAGTATTACGCGATATAAAGTTACGAATACTTTCTAAACACACTTATAAAATCTAAGTATTAGCTTATAACTAATATATTAATATCTTTCATATAATTTATAATTATTTGATTCCAATTAATAACTGCTAATGTACTGTGTATACCTATATTGAGATTCAATTATTTTATACATATAATGTATTAAAAACATATCATGGTTTCAATTAATGATATATTAATAAATATTAATTCTGTATGTTGCATTATAATTATTTCAATATTTTTTTTATACTGAGATGGCAAACAAGTGTACTGCCCACTTGATGGTAAGCGGTTACTGCGGCTTATGAATGCCTGCAATATCAGCAGCATAAAGCGCGCTTTGTAGATCCTGAAAAAAAAATCCTCTTTACCCATTTTTTTAAAGAACCCCATATTATGTGTTTAGTAATCATTCACTCTGACTCGTTCGTTCGAGCTCTCTCGCTCCCGCCATTCAGCACGTATAACACGTCGTCACTTAGTATATATATGGTATATTTATATATAGTTTAAAGTAATAAATATTCAATATTACTAAGAGCCTTTGGATTTTACATCCACTACAACCTGCATACCTTAGTAAGGTATATACTACACACTATGGTCTCTTGGAAAAATCTCGACAGGGAGCTCATTCCATAACCAGAGCGTTAGTGTGAGGAAATGTTTCTGAAACCGCGTTGTACGCGACCATCCATATTTTAAGGTGTTTCCTATATAGGTATGAACTTCCTATCGATACCTTCTTATAAGTTTTATTAAAACTGGCTATATTTAAAGAAACTATTCAGGGTAAGGGCTACCTCAGCCCATACATTAGTCCTCCAGTCATAGTAAAAACTAAAGTTTTCATGCTACGACACACATGTGTGACTAAAGGGATATTTTGTCCGTGGACAATATGTTCATCGTCTGTCCGTTTTCATATGTCAATTACCTCAATGAACAACTTTGTTTTATTTGAAATTATAAATGATGAGTCTTTTAAGACAAAATTAAAATAAAAATGATAAATACCGCGCCATCTTTAGGTATGAAGTGAGACTATGATTCGAATTTGCTCTTCACTTCATGCTTATTTGAAATGTAGGTAAGTTGCTTTAACATTTTTATTTGAAATTTAGATATTATTAACACAGATGTCGCCAGCGATGATATTGATAAATTATTCATGCGTTAGTTTTGCCTTCAGATCCTTTTTCCGTACTGATTGGTGGTAAACCTAAATTAAAATGGAAACCACTATTATCGTTCTCTATCAAATCTATATTCAAACCAATTTGCTTGTGGGATTTTTTTTAATGGATGAAAATGGAATGGTAACCCCGCTCGCGCTATCAGTATACACTGACGGGGCACCAGTGGAAGATGGTAGGTGAAAGTGAATATAGGTCAGTTGGCCCACCATGATGAATTCGACAAAAATTAACCATGATGGTTTCCAGGGGGAACCGCGTGGGGGTCGACCTGAGAGAGTATATTGCTAGCAATGGGCTTATTAGACCTCATTACTAGCAATCCCTTTCCCCCCGCTTGTGGGATAGGCAGAGATAACCCAGTGCAAGTATCTCTCTTAAATGTATCTCACATTTTTTTTAATTTTACCATTTCATAACTAGGGGAGGCTAGGGGGAAGGGATTGTTAGTAATAGGGAGGTAAGTCTCCATTGCTATCAATATACCCTATCAAGTCGACCTCCCCCCTGGAAACTATCGTGACTAATTAATTGTTGAATTCGTCACGATGGACTAACTGACCTGCCTTTTCGTATATCACCTCTCACTGGTACCACGCCAGTGTATACCGATAGCGCAGGCGGGGTTACCATGTCATTTTCACTCATTGAAAATAAACTATTAGTTTAATTCCAATGAGTGAAAATATATTATTAATAAACATTTACTTAATAAAGTAATGTATATAAATGATAATAATCATCTGTGCTTGAATCTCTTTAAAATGTTTTTGCTCCAGCAAAATCCTTGGAGTCTCTTCTGCTCTTACACTGGTAAAAATGTCAAGGTTGCTTGAAACTAGTTCGTAAAAAGTAAGTATATAAATCACAATTATTCTAAATAATATTGTAAATGCAAAAAATAATTTATCTTAAATATTATATGATAAAAATTTATTGATTTCATTTTAAATAGTTAGATTCTTCTTGCTATGTCCTTGTAGATCATCATATAAATACACTATGCATATGTATATATAAGTAAACACTATGATATTTTATAATAATGCAGTAAAAATACTAAGTCGATACTCAGTTTGTAAACATGTTGGAATGTTTATTATCGTACTATGATGAAAATATTGTAGTCATTTGTTAAAATCAAAATTTTGTACACGGCTGGATTATATAGGATACATTTTATTTTAAATTCACATTCGTGAAATCATGGCATACAATTAGTATGTAAACTATATTCGCAGTAGAATTTAAACATTATTAATAAATATCAAACTACTTGTTTACTGTAGAATTAATCAATGCGTAGTATGTAATTGGATTAACTATTTAAATTAATTTATTATTCGTTCATAAAAATAAAAATACTATAAAAGTTTTATTGTCTTTTTTTGCAATAGTTACCTATCTATTTTTCTAACATACGAATTTTAAACTTCCATATATTAATAGATGAATGAAATAAGTAAAATTAAAAAAGATAAATAATGACTAATTTCAATTAATTCAATAATATAATAATAAGAATATTCATCATAGATATAAAAGTTACGTTACAACAATGAAATTAGGTACATTACGTTTCATATATATTGAAATTGTAAAAGAACTAGGGCACAGCGAAATACAAGTAAATCTGACCGATATCTCGTTCGACATTGGAGCCACCCGAACTAACATTGTATCTCCATTTTACAAAAAATCCCAGCCACATACTGTTGTTCTAATAGTGCTGTGTTCCTTCGTTGAATAAAGTAACCAGAATTCTTTGGGGAGGGGTTGTGCTGGTATCAGGCGACGCAGAGTCTGGCGAGAATTGTTACCTCTAAACGACTCTAGACAATAAAAGCAATGTGCTCCTATTGTGTGCTTACGCGTCTTTTCGCACTATCATATTCCACAGAGCAATTTGTGTCCTACTTGAAGACCACTCTCGTGCACCTTGTGCCTAAAAAGGGAGATAGATCGGATTATAAGCCTATTGTCATAGCTTCACTTCTCAGCAAGTGAGGGAGCATATTAGCAAGACATAGCTCTTTGGATAGTTAGAAGATTATGTTTTGTAGAGCGATCACCAATACGGTTTTTGCTATCATCGTTGAACTGGTAATCTTCTAGTATACCTCACGCACTGCCGAGCTTTTGCCCTATATAATATAAATAAGGTGTTTGCTGTTGGTCTAAATATTGCAAAGGCTTTCTATTGTTGACGACAATTGCTCCGATAGCATGGGCATTAATGTCGACATTTCGCATGGCTCTATGCTGTCCCCAATGCTATTTTTGCTGCTTATAAATGACTTGCTGGCTACGGTTGACATTCATTGTTATGCGAATAATAGTACTAGAGATGCATACTACACGTGCCGTGCGAATATCCTTCAATTAATTGTGGAGACTAACCGCGAACAGCGTATGTCTGAATTTGAGAGTAGTGCTTTTGTTAATCTTCGACTGGGAATGACTAAAATTTGTCCAATTTAACATGTGTTTTTGTTTGTTTTATACAACTTAGAATGGCAAACAAGCTGACAGCCCACCTGATGGAAAGTGGTAACCGTCGCCTATAGACATGAGCAGTACCATGGACATAACAGAGTATACTGTTTCGCCCATGATACCTCCCATGCGTTGCCATTCCTGAGGACTCAGATGTTATTCCTCTGTACCCAGTAAATTCACGCTATATTATATTCACGCCCTTCAAACCGAAACACAGTCATGCAAACACAACTGCTTCACGGTTGAAACACGAATGGGACAGAGGTACCCAAGCAATCGACTTTTGTAAAAGTTTCCCTCTGGTATGTTGTTACATGATAACTATTATTCAATTCGGGAAATTATAAACATAGCGCAGGCGCCTATGACAATAACGTGGCGATATTTTAACAATACAACAAAAAACATATAAAGACTTTTGTTCATGTCGTAATTTTTGGCATCAATAGAGTCAGGTCTTGTATTGATTAAGACTAGACACACACGTGTCAATAAAATGTCAAAGACAGATTTCTGGTTGTTTCTAGATTACTGGCTCCACAAACACGCCTGTTGAGTACCTGGTGACACCTGACAGCCGTGTCTGATGATCGGGTAACAATAATGTTTTGTCTGCTTGCGTCTTTAGTAAATTTAATGACGTAAATATCTACAGCAATAGGTAATATCGTGTTACGCTAAGATTATACACATATTTAGGCATAAGATTCTATAAATAAGTTGGCGAATTAAGCTAGTTATTACATTATGTCAAATAAAAACATAATATTGGAATCCAGCTCTGCCCTTTGCATAAATGTCAAACGAATAATAGGTTTTTGCTACCTACAATATACATACATAAGTTAGAGAGAGATATGGAACAGTAATATCTAGCATATAAAACATATCTTCCCATACATTTCTTTGAAATTTTATATTTATATCACTCTGTATTATATTTCGAAGCTAGTTCTCAATATAATTAAAGTGAAAATTACCCGATATTTTATTTTGCTTGGTAATTCAAGCAAAATAAAACACCGGGTAATATTCGCAATTGAAAATTTTTTAATCAATAACATCTAGTTAAAGAGTCTCTCTATAAATATTTCCATAAAAACAGTCTCAACTTTTTTTTTTATCTTGTAACTGATGGCTTTTAACCATCATTTTATTTATTTTTATCATTAATATCCTGCAGAGTTTCATATAGTATGAAAAACTATGTGACAGCCAACAGCTGGCTGATCATTTACGGCCCACTTTTTAATGCCCGGTGCTATATCTAGAAGAGTATAAATTAAGTTGATTGCTCATATATTGCAGGCTCTTTATTGTTTACTCATTATTTTTATTATCTATTAGCTAAAAGTTATATAAAACACAATTTAATCTTTATTATTGTGATATAATTTATAGAAATCTTTAGAAAGACAATAAGTTTGCATTTATTTATCGTTTATTCCTTCTATCATAAAGATATTATAAATGCGAAAGCTTTTAACTTGTTACTCTATCACACAAAACCTATTTTAATAGCATACCTATTCGTGTATCAAATTTGTAATTTGTAAACAAATTTGAATGAAATTTGATACACGAATAGGTTATTTTCATAAGAACATAGAATACTTTAGTACTGATTTACCCAAACTAATGAGATTCAGCTAGCTTAAAATAAAAAAAAGTGCAGTATTTTTTTCTAATATGCTTATTTACTTAATGGTCGAGGGATGGGCAGCAGCGTCCCTTTTAAAATATCCCCAAAGCCTAATTACAATTTCCAACTCACCTATCAAGCATGGCAACTATTGGAAAAACTCCCTTTATATGGATGGCTTCTGTTCATCACTAGACAGTTAAAAGCTGAAATGATAATAGGTACTTATTTCAACAAATTTTTAAAAGCTGTACCGGATATACAAGCTTAATGTATTATGTAAGCCTCATTTTATGTATTTTAATTAATGATCCATATAATGACGTACAAAAGTTTTAGCTTAAATTTATCTGATATCCGGAATATATGCGTAGAGTAGCTGATTACTCGCCCACCTTACTTTTCGAGTACTATGTTATTTTTCATTATGGTATCAACACACCCCACACTCTGTGGGGTGTTCTGAACCCTTTATCTTTTTATCAATGCACATGAAAATCTGAACTAAATTAGGATACTTAGTAGTTTTTACAAAAATATTTTAGTTCTTATTTTTGTTATTTAAATGATAATTAACCAACCGTTAAATATCCACTGATGAATGTCTTTTCTATAAGAGTAGTTTTGCCAATAGTTGCTAAGCTTAGCTGGCGGATTGGCAACCGCAGTTAGGTTTTTGTTGATATTTTGTGCTAAGTTTTCTCTTAAGTGCGCCTATTCCATCCACTTTCCTCTATGTTATTGTATTTCCAATAACAAATATTGGAAATGTTTACTTCCACAACAACACAATATGAAAAATATTAGTTTTCCTATCATATTGTATGCACAGCGCCTATTCTTGCGTATATTTTTACTACACGGTTGTAAATACAGAAAACATATGTATATACATGTTTGATACAAATAATATTCAAATCTTTTGCGTCAATATAGTAATAATAGAATAATTAATTCGAATTGGGGCGCATGGAAGGAGCCGGTGGTATGCTGTTTGGCATTAGAATCTTGTGTGAGTCATTTGGATAGGTAGCCACCGACTTACCTACTTCTGCTGTCAGGTATTAAAAACGTATAGTGTTTCCCTAGCATGGAACCCATTATCTCCCATTTCCAAGGGAACTTGGGCTAATGAAATCGAATGGATAAATTATCTTCCTTTAACTATTATTAGCAATAGACTTTTAATGTACTTTATCAAGTAAATCTCTGATCTTTTTTTAATAGGCGAACATGGAATGGTAACTTCACCTATGGTATTGGTATACGCTGGCCTATAGTGTAGAATTGGACAAGAAATAACTAAGTAACATGATTTTTTCTCGTGTTCTATGTATGAATGAAGATCATGAAAAGGTTTTCCAGAATATCATTAGAGGTGATTAAGAATATATCAGCACGAGAGAACGAATGAACGAATGAGGAGACCTTCAAGAAAATAATTTATAACTTTTTACAATGTCAATAACACAATGACATTTGTTTTCTGGTGTCGTCAGTGTTCATAGGCTGCGATAATCACTTACCACCAGCTCGACCACGTGTTCATTTAGCACCCTTTTACTTAATTTTAAAATAATACTTGAAATTTAGCTCAATACTAAATATTCTGATCAGATTAGCATTAAGTCGTTGAATTATACTCTCTTCTAATGGGATAATGGTCTTAATCTATCAATTTGAGGAAAAAAGGATTGTTAGTAATGGAATCTAACTGCCCCATTGCTAGCAATATTCCCTATCAGATCGACCTCCAAGCGGTTCCCCCTGGAAACCATCGTGGTTAATTCTAGTGGAATTCGTCACGATGGGCTAACTGACCTGTTTCATTGTCACCTATCATCCCTCATTAGTGCCCCGCCAGCGTATACCGATAGGGTGGGACTACCATTTCATTATCACCCATTAAAAATAATCTATAAATTTATGAATCTCATCTAATAATCCATATACAGTTGTGGAATGATTATTTCCAGGATAACAAAGAATAATATTAAGATGTAACTTGTGATTGTGATTTCCTGAAAATCCCGTGGGAACGGGATATAACGAGTTCTTGGAAGAAATCAGACGAAAAGGCTATCGTAAAAATAATGTTGGGGAAATATAGATATACGACTGAAGTCATCACGTACATGAATATCCTTAGAAATAATAATGATAGACAGGTTAACGAAGTAAAACCGGCGTAATAAAGGAATAATAAGAGAAAACAAAAAAGAAAAGCTCTGAATACAACAATTGATTCTGGTCCAATGTACTATGTACATGTTAATTCGCGCGCGATATAAGCGATGTCGTGCCATTCCGATAAACACAAGCACTCGGCCGCTCGGAGCAGACGGTTTCAACAAACATTAAAGACTAAATTAGTCTCTGTTTGTTTATTAATATCAAAGACCAAGTAAAATGTCGAAAATCGTGCTATTACTTATGTTCGTCGCCGTAGCTGCTGTCCAAGGTAAGCGAGCGTCGTCGAATAATGTCAGTGATCGCGTACGGATAGGTATTTATCATTTTATTAAATCCTGTCACTTAGTTTTTTTCATTGATATTAATATATTCCTTTTGAAATAATAATATATGACATTTAAAAAATATTTACCATATTAATTGCGTTGTACTTTCTGCTAGAAAATTATTAATTAATTCGCTGCGGATACTCCTGTCAAGCATTTGTCATGAAAACGGATCGGTATACATTTTGTTTTTTAAATATATAACAACAATAAAAATAATATTTTTATTATTATTCTTATTTACAAAAGCATAATAAATTGCAGTATGATTACAACTAGGTATTTTTATACTTTATAAGGTTTTTTTTTTCTTAAATAATTACGTTAAATAGTGATAGTGGAATTATAAATAGGTTAAAAACCAATAAAAACATAAAACAATGGATTTTTTTGATAATCAGATACAAAGGTATATAACACAATCTTCATTTTTGCAGGTTAAAATCATAATTATTATAATAGAAAAAATCCTGTGTAGAACTATCAATATATGTTTTAAAAGTGAAAGTAAACATTCTGCCTTTAATGTAATGGTTTTAAAATGGCTTCAAAATAACAAAATAATAAATGAAATTTACTTACTGACATAGCGCGTCAAGTTAGTATATAATTTTTATATTTGTTTGTTATTTTTCTTTGAGAAAAACATTCAATTGTTTTAGTAGAACACATTAACACATGTAATAAAAATAAAAATCAATAACAAATCATATTTATGGATAACATTGTAGTTTCCGATTTCATTATAAAGTGAAGTCGAAAAGCCGGAAACAGGGCCCAAATGACGAAGCTCGCTCGAACATCGCTTTTCGCATAATTTATACTGTGTCAAGGGCATCAACATTAGTATCGACATATGTATACCTAACTTTTGCATTAGCAACATTATGTTATGTTACTAAAACACGAAAAAAATATTTTTTCTAGAAATAGCTACTGGTGTTAACAGCATAGGTATCTAGTTTAAATTCATCACTATCAGCATTTCAGCTATTATTCGTCCACTGCTGGACATAAGTTTACTTTAATTTTTTTGAATAATTAAAAATTATGATTATTTTATATCATTTATGTTTCTATTTGTGACTTTGTTTGCATAACTCTTCTCAGTTTATTTATTGTTTTTCCGAGATAAAAGTAACCTATATTCTTTTTCATCCTTGAAAAACCAAATTGCAAGACGAATGGCGCTAAACATCCACATTTATAAAATTAGAATTCTATAATTCAATAGTTAAACTTAGATGACAAAAAGGAAATTCTCAATTTTTTTTTTTTTTAATTTGTATTTACAATATCGTTACTACTATTAACTGTCTACTGCTAAACGTAACCCAACCCCAGGGGGGGTTTTGGAAGTAGTTGCCACGCTTGGCAGGCGGATTGGTAATCGTAGTCAGGTTTTGGAGATGATTTAAGAGGGATGCTACTGTCCATCCCTTGGTCGCCTCTTATGACACCCACGGGAATGGAAGGTGCGGCCTACTCTATACCGGGATCATACGAAAGAAAATTTACAATATATTAAGCGATAATTTCGCTAAACTGATTAAAAAAAATATTATTTACGATTATATTATTATAATTGAAGCGTCAGGGGTGTTCTTTTCTAGAAATTTGTCCGATTCTAGAATAAGGGCATTCGGGTATGCGACCCCAGCCTCCCGAGCCGCTGCAGTGTCCCAGTCCTTTTCGCAATTGCAGTGTCCTCCCCTTTCCTTTCCCACATAAGTCCTTTATTCCTTTCATTACCAATTCCCTTTACACATTTCCAACGTTCCCTTCCCTTTTTCTTCAATTCTTTCCTCCATACCGTAGGTGGCGGAAACCACCAACAAATGCATTCCCAAAAAGGGTTGACGTCAGGCAGGTGGCCGGTTGTAAAACTAAAAACCAAATCTTTTTGTAATATGGATAAAACCATATTGTACCGACCCCAAATAATAATTAAGGGATAAGGGTAGGAAGATGATGATTATTATGATTGACACAGATGCTTTTATTTACTAAGCAAATTATTTTAAAAATATATTACTTGTTATAATATAATAATTATATTTTTCAACCAACTACAAAAAGATAGAGGTTCTCAATTCAGTTGTATTTTGCTTTTGTTATTTATGTTTTTTATTTCATATCTTCGTCATTTGTGAACCGATTTGGAAAGTTCTTTTTATATTTAAAAGGGTATTACTTAAAGATAAGTCCCATAGAATTTTATTAATCATCGGTTTAGTATTTTAGTTTCTAAATCAAAATACCCCAACAACACATGACAAAATTGCCACAATTGAAGTCGGTTTTTTAGTGGAACATAATTTAATATTCTACGCTCTAGACATTAACAAATTTAACAAAGGTCGTATACGTAAATGTCTAAAATTTACCTTTGTTTACATAAATTTTAGACATTTTTTAAGAATATATTGGCCATTGATTATAAGTGCAGTCACACTTAAGGACAAAGTGAGAAACGAATAAGTTAGAGGGAGATTCAAAGTTACTCCAATAACTGACAAAATTACGGAGCCTAGGCTGAGTTGGTACGGGCTCGTCCTGCGAAATGATGACCATCTCGTGAAAAAAAAATATACATATATATATATATATATATATATATATATATATGTACAATTTCAACAGACTAGACGTACATAGGTCTCGTTTCAAACATTTACTAATAAGTCCAATAATGGTTTTGAAATTATATTTGTCAATTTGTATGTTTGTTTTATCGTGATTCTCCAAATACTATTGAATCAATAAACTCATACTTAAAAATAAAAGATGTGTTGAGCCTCATTATAGCATAATAGCTATGATAACTAAGTAAAAGAATTACTCGTTTTTTTTAATGCAAATTAGAATGACAAACAAACTCACGACCCACCTGTGAGAAAGCATTAAACGATGTCTTTTTATACAAATAGCACCTTTGTCATCATAAAACACGTCGTGATAACCACTGACATCCTAGGACATTTTCATTATATATTTTATGAGGTCGCGGGTTCGAATCTCCGTCGACCTAATTTGGCAAATGAACTTTTCTAAATTGGCTTAAGTCTGCGTGTTCTGTCATCTGTGATGTGCCTCAAGATGTTCATAACATAAAGTATTTTAGCTTGAGAATCAGGCAATTGGTGTCATTAAATGGCATTTATACTAGTCTATATATTCAGAATATTTTTTTATGTCGGTTCGCGTTGTTTATACAGTATTTTAAAAAAGCAAGAATATAATATCATTATAATATCATTTAAAAATGTTCATAAAATATTAATCAACTTACTATTTTATGAACTTTTAATAAAATTTAATCAACATCATCAAATCAATCATCAAATCTCACATAGGTATTTGACAGTTATTTAGCACTCGTCACAGGTCATTTCTACATTTAATGTGAAACAAAATGACATTGATGTTTCACCATGTTAGGCTTTGCGTTGCAAACGTTGAATTAAAATTTAGTTTTATGCTATAAAGCGAAACAAAAAAATGTGTTAAGAGTGTTCATTACGAAGTATGTTTAAGCTGTCAATTTTCAAAAACAATTTAGCATTTTTAATATTTCTGATTGATTATTCAAAAAGTGCTTTGATATTGAACTGAAACGTGAATCATAGATAACCATCATGAATAATTCTTGCCGAATTCATTATAGTGGGTCAACTGATCTGTATTCATTCTCACCTATCATTCACTGGTGCCCTATCAGTGTATACCGATAAGGTGAGCAGGGTTACCATTCCATTTACAGTCATTGAAAAAAAAAACAAAGATTCAACGCGCCGATCTCTAAATTTTGTATTCAGACAAAACTACCTCCCAAAATAATTTTGTAAACAAAGTTTCGTAAGATTTCGTAGGAATCTCTGACAAGAAAGCACAGAGGGATCTCTGCACAAAATAAGTAAGTAATCAAGCCATAAGGTCATACATACTTAATGAAATAAACACATTCATTTTCGCATACATTTCTCGAAAACCATGCTCATTATTTGATAAAACTATATATAGTTTGTTTACTACTTTAAAATCTTTGTTGTCCTATGAAGAGACTAATTCGAATTTTAAATAAACTAAATGTATTTTGATTCTAATTTTATCTTTTCAACATATAGATATAGATAATGTTGAATAATCGAGCAGATAAAAATGAAAATTTACATCAATACAAGTTTAAAATATGTCTGAGAAATAACAAATTTGTTTTTTGAATTAATCTACATAATTCGCGCGGACATTATTTTTATTTTTATTGAAATGTGCAACATTACTTACTTACGGTATTTATTTACGTTCGATATGTGTATTTTGAATACGTTTAGCGCCATTCGTAATAGTACAAAAGTCAATATTTTCTTTTTATTATGTAGTCGAACACTGACACTGGTGTAGTCATTAATAAATAGATTTTAATAACTGTTTCACTGTGTTTATTTTTAAGCAAAAATTAGGTATTTTATCTATTTCCTTTTTTACTGATAATGGTATGGTAACCCCTATATATATATGATGGAATGGTAACCCCATCTGCGCGAAAGAGGAATGATAGATGAAGATGAAAAGGCAGGTTTGTTAGTCCATCAAGTTAAATTCACCTGGAACTGTCCACTGCTAAACATAAGCCTTCTCCATAAGGAGGGTTTTGCCAATAGTTATCAAGTTTTGGTGATGTTTTAAGAGGGACACCGCTACCCATCCCTCGAACATTGAGTTCCCTTAGTTGTCTCTTACTACACTCACGAAAAAGAATGGGGTGGTCCATTCTATGCTGGAACCACACGGCATTTCAAACTAATTCAAACATATCAATCAAATATTGACATCAAACACACTTTTGACAGAAGGACATCTATCTAGTTAGCTGGTTTTTAGAAGACACGTTCTCTTTTGTTTAGATGTAAACAGATCTTGGACGCCCTTTTGTAGTAAAATTTCTAAATATGTGTTTAACACTCATCTATTGTTTTTTTTTTTGTGGTAAGAACTGTATATGTTTTTTTGTTTACAAAATTGTCTTCTTAACGATTACAGGTTACCCGGCTGATGATATTGCAAGTGCAGCAGCAAGGGGGGACTGGGAAACTGTCCATAAACTGTACGTATATCTAGAAATACTAAGTATTACAAGTAGATTTTGTTTCGATAATAAAAACACCGACTTCGATCGTAGCAAAACCGGTTACCACTGAATCGATTTTGATAAAATTTCTATATTCTATAGAATAATGTGAAAGTATATCTTTTAAAATAAAAAAAAATCCACATTGGTTTATAAATAACGGATTTCTAAGGCAACAAATATAAAATATACAAAAATATACACTATATATAAAATAGACAATAAATATACAATTTATTTTAAAGAAAAGGAGGTTCCCAATTCGGATGTATTAATTTTTTGTTTGTTACCTCATAACTCCGTCAGGTCTAAACTGATTTGAAAATTATTTCAATCGGTCATAATTAACTGAATCTTATGCTTACAGATTGAATTGAATTGATAAAATTTCTATGGCAGATTGGCCCATAGAAATTTAATCCAAATCGGTTCAATAGTTTATTTTTTAAATCAAAATAACTGGTTTCGTTATAGTTTAAATTTGTTGAAAATATGGAAATTTAATGTTATAAATATATATTATACTAATATTACATATTTGTAAGTTTGTAAAGAAGTCTATATGTTTGTTACTCATTCAGACTTAAACAACGGATTTGAATGAAATTTGGTATACGGTTAAATTGTATTAAATTGTATTGAAGATACAATTTATATAAATTGCTTTTAATTTATATAAATTAAAAGCCACTATGTATGTATATTTTATAATGAAGATTTTAAATTCCAACCAAACGTTGATTGATTATAATAAACAACTATCTTACAAAGAACCCAAGTGGGTTTATTTAAACATATAAATAAGAATATGTAAAGTCTCTGTTTATTTGCAATACAGGGATAATTTCGCATTTTATTAATATATATATATATATATATATATATATATATATATATATATATATAACATACAAAGCACACAACAAAAAAGTTTGTTCGTCAAATAAAATGACTATTCCTGTCCACTGCGATTAACTGCAATATTTGGCTAATTAACTATTTTAGTTATTTGTTTTACAAGATTTACTCGTTCTAGACTTACCTCAATATATTATGGTTAATATTAACCGATTTATGTGACTTTGCTTGCTTGAATTGATATAAAAAGTATCCTATATGTTAATCCAGCAAATGATACGAACAAATCCGGTCAATCGTTAAACCATAATTGAATAGAAAAAGAGCATATTCCTTTTTAAAAGACCAGTAGCACACCTGCAATGCCGTTAGTGTTGTGGCTGATCATGGGCAGCGGTAGTCACTTACCACCAGGTGAGCCGCATGCTCGTTTGCCCCTGTGTTTTTAAAAAACTGAATAACAATTTTTAAAATATCTTTATATATTGCAATTTATATATATATATATATATATATATATATATATATATATATATATATATATATATATATGTCCGTGTGATCCGGTCATAGAACAGGCCACCTCTTTCTTTCCTGTGGGTGCTGTAAGAGTCAACTATGTCTAAAAGCCTAACTACGAATGTCAACTCGCCTGCCAAGTATGGCAACTGCCGGCAACGTAACATATAATAAAAAATACCATAATAACAAAAAAGAGATGAGCAGCGCTATATGAGTATTTCATTAGAAAAGACAAAATAAATTTTAACCAAAATGAAGGAAAATGTGGACTACATAATATTGGTATTGGCATCGTAGTTTTACATAAGATGTCGTTTACTTGACTTCTTCTATGGCTCAAGGCCTAATTTATATTAGAGCTTATTCATATTGTACATATTTTTTATTCAACTAATCGTAGTAATGTGGTCGGCAACACGCGCATATTACTCCTGGTACTGCAGGCGTTCATAGGCTACAGTAACCGCTTACCATCCACCTCAGTGGTATAAAAAAAATAATAACCATTTTTAAATAGTAATTTTTTATGAAACTACCGATTAGTTCGATATGTAAATTCAGCTGAGAAGAATGGATAAGAAACACAGCTTTTTTCAAGTAAAGTTTACAATAAAAAAAAGTATTAATAAATAATAAATTACGACAGAAAGTCTCAGGTTAAGTAGCTAGTAGGTTTTAATACCTACTAGCTACTTAACCTACTCAGTTCAATTCAATCAATCAGCACTTAATGCCATATAAATTTGAATTGATTTTTTGATTGATTGAATGGCAAACAAGCTGACGGTCCACCTGATGGAAAGTGGTAACCGTCGCCTATTGACATGAGCAGTACTATGGACATAACAGAGTATACTGTTTCGTTAATATTAATTTCAATAAATTTATGCGTATCTATATGCAAATTTCGTCAATTTTATTAAAATCGGTTTCAGCATTTAATCCTGAAACGTCAAACAAATCAAAATTTTAATTTGTTTTTATCATATTATTTCCAGACTCAGCGCAAGCTTCGACAACAAAAATATTTGGAAGGTGAGTTTTTAATTTTATATTATTTATTTGTTAATCGGTTGTAGGTAGAGACTATTGAGTGCTAAATTGGGCCATTACCTTGTTTGCCGTTCTAAGTCGCTGTAAGGAAATATTTTTTTGAAAAAGTAACACTTTTATTTTTTTATGCAATTTAGGCAAAATGGTAAACAAGCTAACGGCCCACCTAATGGAAAGTGGTAACTGTCGCTTATAGGCATGAACATACTATAGATATAACAGAGTATACTGTGTCGCCCGTGATACTTTTCATAACTCGCCATTTATAAGGATTAAAGTTTTATACCTCTATACACTTATATCCCACCCTTCAAATCGAAACAGCCATTCAAACTCTCTGACGTAAAGCACCATGGATATCACAGAATATACTTTTACGCTCATGGTACCATTTTATTCTGTTTCCAGTCTGTTCCCTCCGGCAGCGTAAAAAGTTTGAAGCCAGTCGGCGGCGGACATGTATATGGGGAAGCCGAGTATACCTTCCACTCATCATCAAACGTTGGTGGACAAACGAAGGAACAAAGCGGGGGACACAAAGTCATCAACAATGACGGAAAAGTATCTGAATACGACTTCAAGCCTACATTCTAAATTATCAATGGTACAGATAGGAAATTTGAGTTACAGACAAAGATACTAATGCCAGTACTTGTAGAAAAAAATGGTTATATTTTAGTAATAAATATAAAACAGAAAGCGTAAACTAAAGAATAAAAATTCATTATGAAATTAAATTCTAATGTTTTCTTAACGGTAAATTTGGCTGTGCATGTGCAATAGGATATTAAAAAATAATAAAGAGTTAGTTTACTTATTAAAATATAGATAGTATGTATTATTTGAACCTATATTTGTACATAATCATGTATTTATTTTTATATATTAATTTATCTTTTAAATCTTGGATAAAAAATCAAATTATAATTAGGCTTTTGAATTATTATTGCTTCACTGTAGTATACATAGTTAATTATTTCCGAATCTGTTATGGTTGTACTTATTACCAAAATGAGACCTTCAAAAAAGAGCATATTCCTTCTTAAAAATTTTGCAATACACCTGTAAATTCTTTGTTATTGCGGGTGCCTATGGGCGGCAATATTCTCTTACCATCAGGTGAGCTGCATGCTCTTTTACCCTCTATGTTATATAAAAAAATGTTAGTAATAATTATTTTATGTCACCTATATTATGTACCTGTATTCATTTAAACTGATTAGGCATGTTACATTATGTTACATGTATGTTTCTATGCAAATAAATTTATCTATGTAAAAAAAAAAAACACTCAAGTTTCCTAACGAAAATATGTTACAAGTTATTTCATTATTTTTAGAGTACGCATTACATCGATACTCACTAGATGACATACTTATGAGAACTGTATAACAAAACTGGAACTATACATACAGTAAAAGAAATAATAAAAAAAAAAATATGTTGAAAATTAAATTTTTAAATTCAATTAGGCGAAATTTCATTTATTGATTGACTAATTTTGATTGTGAAAATATTGTAGTGTTAACATTCATTAATAAAGTTCAAATAATAAATATTTTTTTTATTTACTCTAATATTCCACCTGATGAAAAGTCATAAAAAAATATAAATACATAACAGTAGAAAATACATTGTTCCTGAGTTGTGTGCCTGTAAGTAATGCAAATAAAAAACACAGCCATTATATATCAGAGATACTATCGACTTTTGTACAAAATCCATAATATTTTTATCATAAAAAAGAATAAAGAATACACATAGACGATACATTGTGATTTGTGTACTGTAAGTTTTGGAAATAAATTGTATGTTTACCTATCTTTCTATCCATAAGAACATTCTTATTAAAACAGTAGCTGTAATAATAATTATTTTAGAATATCATAATAAAAAAAATATTTTACTTAAACTGGTTTTTTGAAATAGTATATTTAGTACAGGCGTTTCCATTGAAAGGAAGCGCCTACATAAATTTATAGCAATATTGCTCATAAGTATCATATAATTAATTTTTCTAGTTATTATTTTTATATACGCGTTAAGTTCCTTCGTTTGTACTTTAATTTTTTTTTTATTGCTAATACATGTAAATATATGAAGAAAAATAACAAAGGCTACTGAAATTAAACTTTGAGTGTTAACAGAATGGTAACCCCGTTTGCACTGTCGGAATACGCTGGCAGGTACCAGTTAATGACGGTAGGTGAGGATGAAGTCAGATCAGTTGATTCATTATAATGGATGACTAAGATTAAATTACCATAATTTCCAGTTGGGATTGTGTGAAGATCGACCTGATAAGAATAAGGGCATGGGTACTAATGTGTCCGATTACTAACAATATCCCAAACCTGGTGAGTTAAGTTAGCAAAAAAAGAGGGAACGATAGATACCCACTCCTGTCATGTTAAATCTTGAATTAATTACAAATATTGACAATTCTTATTTTTTAAATAGCTGCTCAACAAGCAGCCAGAAAAACAAGTCTGTTAATTTTTTCAAAGTACTTAGTTGACGTATTTTATTTTATTTCATTATAAAATTAGGTAATATATAATTTCTAAAGTTAGTATCTACTTCATAATAATAAATATGTATTATGTGACCTAAAAATATAATTAATCCTACCAATATTATAAATATTAAAGTTAGTAAAGGTATTTGGACATTTGTATTTAATCATACATTGCCGTGTGGTCCCGGCATAGAATAGGCCACCCCTTCCTTACCCGTGGGTGTCGTAAGAATCGACTAAGGGAGAACGAGGGATGGGCATCAGCGTCCCTCTTAAAATATCTTTAAAGCTTAACTAAGTAGCCAACCCGCCTGCCAAGCGTGACAACTACCGGCAAAACCCCCCAAGGCTTATGTTCAGCAGTGGACAGTTAAAGGCTGATATGATAATAATAATACATTAATGATTGAATAGATTTGAACAAAATTTAATACACGGAGAGATTGTATCCTGAATGAACACGGAATATATAATATATACTGATTGACGTGGGCAAAGTCAAGAAACGACTAATGTTTCTTAATTATAAATACAATAATTCTGAGTTCATCTCAAAAATGATTATAATACATTATACTATACTATTACCATACTCTAAATTGCTCATAATTCTATCACTATTCGTGTATTAGTATCAATTTACTTCTATATTTTTTATACTCATAATAATAATGATGTCAGATAAGTACATAATCCGGACCTGACCATACTATGGACGATACGTGTTGCACGAACACATCAATCAAGAATCCTTATTATTTATCTAAATCTAAAGTTATATGAATAATTAAGAGCGTTCATCATAACGAAGCTTACCTAATTGCAACGTCGGAATTATTTAAATTTATTGTATGAACAATGTTCAATATATTTATTAAATAATAGATTTTGTTTTACAAAACATCTTCAATGGCAAAATGATATTGATTAAAAAACTAAGCTATTGAACCGATTTTGATGAAATTTCTATGAAACCAAATAGAAAGTATATCTTTTGAAATAAAATAAGAACTTTTCAAATCGGTTTATAAATAACGGAGTTATAAGGTATAAAAAACTAAATATTTCTTTTTTTTAATTGGTTGAAAATTGCTCTGTTAGTAAACTTTTTAAATATTAATAAAAGTTCTTATTTTTTATTTATTTAGTTAGTTAATTGGGATTGATTAAAGATTGGCTTCGACCTCAAAAATTTCTTAATACAGTTATTTTACAGTAAAAACAGTCAAAACGTGAGCAGTCACCCGCAGTACGTACACAGTAGTCTACGTGCAGAACATGGTATCTAACTCTACATAACATCACACAACTTTTACGACATACCATCATTTTTATGTGAAACGTTTTGGTGGTATACTTTGATATATGTATTCTTCTTAGAATATGTGTCTCATACATCTTCATTATCCAAATTTTTACATGCTATCATGACAGTCTAAAGAATTCTTGCCTACCAGTCGTTAAACAGATCTGTCTAACAATGCGTCCCGGATGTTCATAAAATCGTCATGTTATTTGGGTCAGGCCAATGGCATTGGGTAACTGTTGTTCCTGTTCCTGTTGGTAATGAGATCTAACAGTCCCATTACTAACAAAATACTCTATCAAGTCGGCCTCCACGTGGTTGGAAACCATCGTGACTAATTCTTGTAAGATTCGTCATGATAGGCTAAATGACTTGCTTTCATCTTCACCTGTTATCTCTCACTGGTGCCCCGTTAGTGTGTACCGATAGCGCAGGCGAAGTAAACATTCCATTTTCAAAAATTAAAAATTAACGGTTGTTCCTTATATTTTAATAACAATAAGAAATCTAATACGTCATACATAGAATGTACAATTGTAATATTACACTACCCAGCATAACAGTATAAAGGTGGACGCTAATTTATTATTTTGTACATTTCATTGTATGTAGCATTTGAATTCAATAGAAAACTTACGTACCTATAACATGTAAATAATATTCATTGTATCAAAAGTAGATAGGTACATTTTTTTTTTATAAAACTTTAGATCCGCGACTCAGTATACAACTTTAAAATTGATGATTGTAAAATTTGGTGAAAAGTATATCTAATTTAATGACGATGGCTAAAATAAAGGTTTTTTTTTTTATAAAATTCCGATAAAAATGGAATCTAATAATTTACTTTTAAGTAAAATTAATTTATTCAAATAGGGATATGCCTTGGTTTCGCAAATTGTACATAAATATCATTCGTAAAAATATCACTCGTTAATGATAAAGAGGGTGGACGTCAGGCAGGTGGCCGGTCGTAAAACTAAAAACCAAATCTTTTTGTAATATGGATAAAATTATATCACGGACCCCAAATTATTGGGAAAAAAAGATGATGAATGATTATTAAAAAAATGAAGATACTAAAAATATATGGAAGCTGGGGACTTTCCGAGGTACATAATTTTAGCACCTATTTATATATATTATTATAAAATGACCAAATCCGAGACCGCCTTATTATTTCTAATGAAATTTTATGAAGCGTATTTTTTGCTCAAGTCGAGGGACAGTTTTTCCCCTGATGAGTGACTTACAGGAGGCAAAACAAAGATTGCCGTGTTAACTTGTAGTTATTGTAAAAAAAAAAAAATATTATTCATATATGAAAAGCATATTCTGAAACAGCATATTGTAAATTCTTAATAATATTATGAATATTCATATTGAGTTTCTTTGAGTTTTTTTCAGTTTCAGTGATTCAGTTTCAGTTGATTCAGTGAGTTTATTTGTTACCTCTTACCACCTTAATGGCTATATAAATCACAAATACATAGTATTATATTTGGTATACCAAATACATATACTATATGAGGTAGACATAAATACAGGCTACTTCTTATCCCGGCCAGTAAACATACCACGATCATGCGAAGTTGCGGCTAAAAGCTAGTAGAAATAGATATATCAAAAAAAACCAACCAGGATCTGACAAAAGCAAAACCAAAATGATATCCTTGAAGGGTCTTTCTACACTGGATTTTAATAATATTTATATAAACATTCAATAGTATTTAGACCTCATCACATATGATGGAACTCTTAATTTTTTCTATAGTGACAGGTACCTATATATGTAGATAAAAAGGGGTTTAACCGCACTTTGTATCTAAATTAAGTAATTAACCTTTTTTATTTTATTTTTTTTATTTTTTGTTATCCATCATACTTCAAAAAAATCTTATGATCAATTTCTGAACACAGTTTATTTACTTCAAAAATTTTCCGTCTAAACGACATGCGTTCACGACATAGATAGAGATTGATTTAAAATTATCATTGGTATCAGTAATGAATATACCTATTAGCTTATTAAATTTCAGTTCTTTTTAAGAGGAATTAACATTTATTATATTACTAGTTAGCAAATGTTCTTATGCCTCCTATCGTTACCTACACAATATATTATTCAACCGACGTAAAAAAGAAGAGGTTAAAAAATCGATAGAATTTTCTGTATGTTTGTTACCTCATAATTGCGTCAGTTCTAAACCGATATTTATACGGATTGGTCCCATAGAAATTTTATTAAAATCAGTTTAGTAGCCGTGGGATCCCATCATAGAATAGGACACCCCATCTTTTCTCGTGGGTGTGGTAAGAGTCGACTAACGGACGAGAAATGGACAGTAGCGTCCCTTTTAAAACATCCCCAAAACCTAACTGCGGTTGCCAACACGCATGCCAAGTGGCAACTACTGATAAAACCCCCCAAGAGGGAGGCTTATGTTCAGCAGTGGACAATTAAAGGTTATAATGATGATGATGATGATGGTTCGGTAGTGTATGTTTTAAATCAAAATAACTGGTTTTGTCATAACTGAAATTGGTTTTTTTGTGGGACACAAACTTTAATTATTCACAATAAATATTAGTCTATCTCTCAAATTGAAGCAAACGATATATATTTAAAATTGAACATTCGTATTTCAATTATTCACAATAAAAACTAATCTATCTCTCAAATTGAGGCAATATGTATCATATTTAAAATTGAACAAATCGAGTCGAATGAACGAATGTCGAGACGTGTCTCTACGACGTTTTATATGTATATATATATATATATATATATATATATATATATAATCGACACGTTTTATATATATATATATATATATATATATATATATATATATATATATATATATATATATATATATATATATATATATATATATATATATATATTAACCTATTAATGATTAAGTTTATGTAAATTATTAATAATTTTGTTTGTGTAAATATTGTTAATCTTTATCATTTTTCATCTTTCAATTTCAATCGAACAATATACATTTACAAAATTTTATTAAAATTTCTTGAATGGTTGATTTCGGAGATTAGTATGAACAAACATCATAACTAGGAATTTTAGATATTAAGAAGTAATTTACATTTACGCTATTGTATAACTATATAATATCGTATATTTTTGTTAAGAATACTTAACGATATTTACACTTCTAATTTTATTTTGATTTTCACGATATTTTTACGTCAATTTACAATTGATTAAAATACATCGCACAGCGTTGATTATTATTTAGAATGCGTATTAAACTATCCGCGATAAACTTCACCTCTATTGATATGACATAACGATGACCTATTGCCTGTAAATATATAATATTAAGATCGCATTTTCTATATAAAGATTATGTCGTCATAATTTATTTTACAGTACTAAGGTCTATATTGCAATTACCGATGACATTGCACCCGGATGTTTGTTGCACCTGTACTGAACGCATCTTTGTATGAAGAGAATCTAAAACTAACAAATACAAAGTGTTCTCAATGTTATTTTAGTCTCTATTATGAGGTAATAAGGAACATAGTTATAGATTTTTAAACGCAAGAACATGATGTAGTCTAATGTGATAAGAAGTGAGAGTACATTTAATAATGTGCGCGATTCGTTAGCCAACACTATATTGAGATCCTTTGGCGGGCATAGACGTGTATAATAATTACAGGTACTAACTAAAACAGGTCCGATCATTTTTTGTGGCTTCAAGTGTAAATAGTGGCTGATAACATGAGAGGTTTTATATTTGTCAGTGCCATTTGTCTGCAATTGACATGGAGTTATGGTGAGTATATATATTTATATGTTGTATTAATACAATAATACACTACGTAATTATATTAATATTATTAAAATAATAATACAGATAATAAGAAATATTTTTTACATTTGTTTTCGTAATTGGAATCTATATTAAGATCATATCGAACTCCTTTACATATCGAAGAATCACAAATCACAAAAAAATATTTATTGTGATATTTGTTTTTTACGTATTTACATATATGTATTCATCTATATATTCTATTAATAAATATGTTTTTTTGCCATAACTAAAATGCAATGTAAAAAAGTGTGACAATAGATTTTTTTTTATTTAGAGGCACAGATAATTGAATTACGTTTCAAAAATTAAATATTTAATGTTTTTTTTTTTCTTTTCTGCCAGTTACTATTTTTATAAAGTTTAATTATTTTAATTTAAATTATTTTATATAATAATAAAGTTTATTATAGATTACATGAAAACCGAGAAAAAAACACGTTTAGCTAATCACGTTAAATTATGACCGTAACCACCAATTAACATTCTAATACTGTTCGACACGGGTCTCCTCCATAAGACAGGATATTATTCTACTGTTACCACATAGGCCAGATGGCTTGTTATAGGGGGTTGCTATTATAAATAATTTTTCTCTTTCTCCAATTTTCTTTAGTCAACTCTTACAACTTATCATATCAGCCTATAACTGCCCTGTGGTCCCGGCATAGAATGGACGTCCCTTCCTTTCATGTGGGTATCGTAAGATGCGACTAAAGGAATTTAATAGTCGGGGGATGGGCAGCAGCTTCCATCTTAAAATATCACCAAAGCATTACTGCGGTTGTCAACTCGCCCGCCAAGTGTAGCAACTGGCAAAACCCCCCTTATGAGGGAGGTCTATGTTTAACAGTAGTCAGTTAATGGTTGTTATAATAATAATAATAACCACTATGATGTCTAGAGGGGGGAGATTGCCCTGATAGAGTATTTTAGTAGTGTAGGCGGGGTTATCACCCATTAAAAAAAAACAATCGCTCCCCCTCGGTACTACAAGTTATCAATTATTCATTATATAGATAAACCTATGCCTTTTATGTCTAACTGTGCATCAAAATATGGGGTTCATGACCATGATACAGACAATAGCACTGGTAGGTAGTATTGTTAAATACACGAACTACTAATGACTGTGATGATTCAGATCATGTTAAAAATTTTTTCCGACTACAAAAAGGAGATTTTCAATTCAACACCAGGTATTATTTATTGCTTTTTTGTTCGCCGCGACAGAGATTTTTGACGAGTCTTTTTTGAAGGTTTTAAAACTATAATTGGTCAATATTAATATGTACAAAGTTGAAGCTATGCTCGTGATGTGGATTGTGCGACTAGAATAAAAACAAGTCTATGTCCTTTCCTATACATGCATGTAGCATGCAAAATTTTATGATTGACCCGTTAGAGCGTTAAAATATAAAAAAATTCACAAACAAACATACTTTCATATCCATAATAATGTTATTGAGAATAATAAGCCAATAACTAACTTGCCACCTTTTTAACCTACTTCAATTTTGCTTATCATTGGTCCCGTTAAGGTCAAAGTCAAGTTTATTGTTCAAGGTAACGAGTTTCGAGTTTTATGTAGAAATGTGTACATACATACATACATACTAGCTGACTCGGCAAACGTTGTTTTACCATATACATTATTTGTAAATGTTGTCAAATTGTATAATATAAAAAACAGGAGTTGATAAACAATATATATATATATATATATATATATATATATATATATATATATATATATATATATATATATATATATATATATATATATATATATATATATATATATATATATATATATATATATATATAGGTTTGACGAATAAAAACTTTTATTTCATATTTTAAATTTTCTCTTTTGACCTCCGACCTCTCTGTCTTTCCTGATTAAACGAGCTTTTATAATAAAAATAAATTTAATTCATTTCAGTCGTCCGGAAATTGTGCGATAGATAAAAAATTAATTACCTCTTAAAGATTAACATCTCAATTCTAATCTATAATCTAATGCGATTAAAATAAACTCGAAAGAGAAGTCAAATTCTCTGGATAACCCGTTACTTAATTACGGAAATCTTATTTTGAAATTACATTTTTACTCATATATAGCACATCATATCAAATCATAAATTTTCCACTGTTGGACAAAGGGTGGGCTTTTTATACGAACTTAATATAAGTTGTTTAAAAAATTTTCACTAAATTCTTTTAGTCAATTCTTACATTTACTTGAAGTTTTTGCGTATGATTTTGATGAATCAAATGTCTATTTGATGTGAGCCTTTATTAATCCTATAGCGCCTTTTGGTCCTCGGCGTCCCCAAATACCACTAGGGCTCTTCCCTAAGGCCGGTACTGCTTATCAAGAAGATAAAAAGCAGTGGCGACATATTGCATATATACTCTGTCACTTCATTATACATACATATACCTAGGTATTAAAAATACATTGTTTAACCCTTCTTTGCATACTGGTGGAAATTTGAATCATAACATTGAATACCCAAAAATTATATAAAAGACCAAGTTCACTTTAAGTTGATCGTGTCTGGATACCTTTTTAATGTCCATTGCAAAAAACAAAACATAGCTGTCAAATTTATTTTTTAACCATTTTTCCTTTAATTTTGAACATAAATTACATCACCTTGATATATTTCACCAATAAAAAAAAAACATGCAAAGAAGGGTTAAACATATATTATGTTTAAACTGTGTATTTTTTATGTATTCCACTATACGCATATCATATATCATCATCATATATATCACGAAAATTATTAATATAGGTAAATAAAAGAATAATATACTAAGTAAATAATTAAGTTGCAAATCATAGCTTTAGATTCTATTGGTTGAAGTACCTATTTCATTTTATATTTTCTGATATATTAATAATTCGTGAGAGCATAGACGTAATCAACAATGTGTATTCAATATCTATCTTCCTGTTCGGTCATTATTATTTTAATTTATTAGTTTTATAAAAAAACATGATAACTTATTCACTAATGCATTGTTGAAAAATTCCATACATTTGTAGTATGTATTCATTTGAGCACAAAATATTAATGAACTTAATAACTTTATTGCTGGTTTCATTAATAAGCAATTATGGGGCTTACCTATCAGTTGCATTTGGTTAAAATTGATAGAGTAATGACGTATATGCATAATTGAACTTAAATTAATTCAGATTCACTGACCATGGAACATTTTTCACTTATATTTGCCCGATTCTTTTAATGAATGAAAGTGGAATTATAACTCCGCCTATGATATCAATGTACACTGACTAGGCACCAGTGTGAGATGATAAGTGAGGAAGAAAGCAAGTCGGTTAACCTATCGTAATGTACAAGAATTAACCACGTTGACATCCAGGGGGACCCGTGTGGAAGTCGTGATGTATATTGCTAGCAATATACACTAAGATTACGACTTTTAGGGCTATTAGACGTCTTTCCCCCCTCCCCCATTTATCTAATTAGGTGATCAGTAAGAAATCGTACAATTATGTACAATTACGAACTTATATATATATTTCGATATATAAACAAATTTTATAAACTCGAATCTTCTATCTATGTATCTTAATATTTTAATCACTGTATCTAAAAAAATATAACAAATCATCTAGTTATTATGCTTATATTTATAAAATATGTAATTCATTATATTATTGATATCTTATATTATTTTTTTATGTAGTTATAAATTTTATACGAAATATTCGTTTACATACATTATGTTAGAATTATTGTTAGAATTAGATGAATTTAGAGTTACTTAGTAGACATGATAATATTTATTACAAATGTAATGCACGTAATCTAATTATAATAATTTATAATAGAAGCACAAGTTCAATGTCCTAATTACACTATACATACAATACATTGCACACTGTCGTTGTTAATGATCAAATACGTATTCTTCAAATTTCTAAAGAAAACAATATGCACTGTCACTCATTCAAACAAGTCGAATTGATAATGTCACAAAAAACCAACTAAATTAGGTGCTTGCAAAAAATGACACTGAAAAAGTATTCTAAAGATCAAAGAGTGCTGACTACTCGTCAAAAGGATTAGCTTTTACTGTTATTTATTGTTTTATTTAGGAAATTCATGCAGTTTTCTTATTGCAGTCGCCGTACGAGCTACGCTTTTCGGGGAGTTTGTGTGGAATTTATTTTATGGAAAACAATATTATACTTATTTATATATTTTCTATATATACAATAAGTCCAAAATTAGTACACAATAGCATTGACGACTTATTTAGAAAATGTTCTAATGTAATAAAATAATAAAAAAATCTCGTAAATTATAATTATGAATTGTACAAATAATAATAAAATGTAATAGTAAATCATTACATTATATATATACACTCAAATAGCATTAACCTTTTCCTTTAGTATTAAAATTAAATTTATTTAGTTCTTACATATTTAGAGTCATAAAGCTATCAATTAATAAAAAAAATGTTGCTGAAAATTTTTAATATATATATATATATATATATATATATATATATATATATATATATATATATAATATATATATATATATATATATATATATTGCTTTTTCTGTAAAATTAATTAAAAATTAGATACGTGTCTTAACTATCACAGCATCGTAAATTTTCCATTTTTCTTTATAATTTAGAAAGACAGAAATCATAATATAAAAAGCAAATATGGTTTTATGAATTATAGTCACACTTGAAGAATACTTTGTTAACTAGTATCAGTAAATCATAAAATAACTTTTTTTTTTATAATTTATATCGTTTTTAAAAACTAATGATTGATACGAAAACACATCGAATTTGAACATTAAATTATACAGAAGCGTCATAAACTAACAATTATTAATGATCATAGAAGTACAACATAAAATGTAAATAAGTATAAAATCTATGCTAATGTATTTTTA